GATGTCGTAGTACTAGAAGGAAAAAAAAATACACTACAGAAATATTTCTTAGCTAATAAAAGCCATTGTAGGGGCTTTTACTAAGTTGTAGCCATTACTAAGTTTTTAATCATTTACATGCAACAATACGACTAAGGCAATGCCTGCTATTTCTGAATCACTTTTTTCAGCCTTGCTCCTGTTTTGCATACAGCTTTCCATACAGAAAGATCCACTTGAGTTTAATACACTTACTTATAATTACATTTTTGTAGTTTAGCTTGAAAACTAAAACTCATGGCATTGTGGAGTGAACACTTCCAAACAGCCTACATATTATTAATGCATTATGCAAAGGTTGGGCAGAATTGATAGTATCTTTTAGCTTATGAAATACCAGCTACTAGCCCGAAAGGATGACTCATGGTAAGGTTAAACAAGATCATCAACAGAGAATGCAGTAAACTAAGTTCTTACCAGCAAACATAATTGTAATTCATTAAAAAGTAGCTTTCATCATTAGCTGCCTTATTTTTAAACTGCTTTGTGCAGATTGCCTGTTCTGTGGAGAAAATCTTTTTATAGAGACCTGGCTTTCTCCATCTTCTAGTGCATGGAATGGTAGTACAGTATCTGAGAGAAGATTATGCTGGTAAAATGTTTTGGAACCCTTCAGAATGCAATACTGCAATTCCTTAATGCAATCACACACACACCCTCAGGACCATTTTCAGGGAGGTTTCCTCCACAGTACCCTAATCCTGAAATAGATACAACTGCTTTAATGAGTTGCATTTGCACCTGTGTGTTCTGAAGCACCTCTTCCAAAGAGGAGGTGCAGCTAGGGCACTAACAGTCTTACTTAAAATTTATTTATGCAGGACAGCTATTCTTTTTCAGTGGCAAATAATGCCGCTTCATTTAAACAGGTAGAATGCTGGTGAATATACATTTGCAAAACCTAACACAGTTTCACATATTTTTTGTTTTGAAGATTACTGAGTGAATTTGAACAAGGCCAAATTTAACCTAAAAACACATTTAACTCTGTACCTTAACCACTGTACTTGTGTATATAATTATTAGATTAAGGCTGTTCTCTTTCATTTTTAGTAAGTGTACTAAATGAATCAATACATGCAGAATTAATTGTTTGTGCCCAGAGATAGCAACTACATCCCTTCCTACAGCATCAATTCCTGCAATGTATTTGACTTGCTGCAAATGCTGTACTGGGTACAAAATGCAGTGGCTCATTTGTATAAGTTTGAGTGCCATTGGCACCATAGAACCCTGGTTTTGTGAGCAGTGCATTGGCTGGAAATAGGTTTCAGGGTACAACTTGAAATGCTTGTTTTAAATTTTACACCTTGGTGCTTCAGTATGCACAGAACTGCTTGCTTTTGCTAAAGCTTACTCGTCTGGTTTATTCAGCCAGAATGAGGATGCTGACTGAGCATCCTTGCCAGTGAAATCAGAAAAAAGGGCTAGAATTTGGTTTTTTTTCTAGATATGCTCTAGTATTTTGGAACATATATCTCCAAGGATCTGGCCTTCCCTAACACTCTTGCAGAACTTTTAATGATGAGAAAGAAGGGAGTTATTACTGGATGCTGGATGTTGCTAGGGATAGGATTTTTTTTAATGTTTTTATGTTTCATGAGTAATTTCTGTAAACTGTCAAGAGACCTTGGAGAGTCAGCAGTATAGAAATGATGTAAGTAAATAAATAGGTTTTCAAAAAACATAAAACTGTGGTGCTGGGAAAAATCATATATTATCACCAGAGCTTCCTATGATTGACTGCTCTATTTTCCAAATTTAAAATTTTTATGAAGAAAATGTCAGGGATTTTTCAATTACCAAAAGATATATATATCTTGCAACCTCTAAGAACCTTTTAAACAACTCATAACCTTTTAAATGACTCATGTATCACACTCCACAGTTTGAATGTGATATTAACACAAGAAGCATCAATAATTCTCTAGCTAATTCCCTATAAATACCCTGTAAAACTGGTGGGGTTTTTAAATAATGCATTAGAAATAATAATTCTGAAAATGGTTTGGGGTCTTCAATTGGTATAGGACACAGCTGCCAAGTGGTGTTTTTTTTTAAAAAAAATTCCTATGAATTCCTGTTCATAGCTTCACTTTTTCAAGAGCTCCATCTGCTACTGGTCATCTTTTAAACCCAACAAAATAAAGAACAGGTTTTTTTTTTCTATCAAAGTTGTCTAGCAGCATTCTATGTTTTCTCCCTGTCTTTTCCCCTTAAACCATTGCAATCTGCACCATCTATGCCTGCAATTCTTCATTACACACAGTTTTTATGCCCAATTTTCCCTCTTTGATCTACCTCTTTCTGCATACTGGACAGGTTTTTTTTTGTCCAGCTGCCTCTACCTATCATTGAAGTAATTAGCAGGGGGAAACTACCCTCCCTCAAGCTTTATGGGTTCTTTGGGATGTGAATTCTATTGGCAATTGTCTTTAGTACCCTAAGGACTTTTATAGGGCAGGGAGAGGGCTCCAAACATTTTCATCTTCCATTTTTAACAGTATCATAGCCTTTCACCGCCTCTTCTTTTTCCCCACAACAGAAAATCCTTTAAAAAGAGAAAAACAGATATGCTGCATATTATCTTTTGATTCAGAGCTACAAATCTTCCATCTGAGGAATTGTAGAGCAGTAGACAAAAATTCATTAGTGAAGGTGGGTGGTATCATCCCAAGACACCACAAGTTCCTTGAAGCAATGGCTACCATGAAGTCAGTTTATTTTTGCCTTTCCCACTGAGGTGCATATGTATGTATATTATTAGGTTATGAAGAAGGGTATGTTTATTATGGTATTAAGGAAAAGAAAGGTTGTCCCTTTATGGAAAAAGACACTGTATTTATGTCTGCAAAAGGAAGCTTTGCTCTCATCTATGTAAGAAAAGAACAGAATGAAATTGTGTATATGTGCAAGCAAGAGAAGGCTGCATGTACTGGGCGGGTGCCCTCATTGTTCAGTTTTGCATACATAAAAATGAAGACTTAATTTATGTGTCCTGGGGCTAATCCTATAAGTGTCTATTCAAACAAGACACAGGTTTTAATACATAAAAAGCTTCAGAATTTTAAACAATTTAAGGACTATAGGACTGCATCATGAGGTGTTTACTTCTCTACTGTTAATGTGCACACACACACACACATATATATATGAGATAAAACAAAGGAACAAAAGAGAAAAAGAAAGAAAACACATAATAAACAGTAGAAAAAGTTGAAGAAACAGAAAAGCCAGATGTGAAGAAGTGGCTTCTTATAATCTTCACAGATTATACAAATATATAGGTAGTTTTTGACTAATATAAGGTTTTTAGTGACCTTTCAAAGTTACAACAGCACTGAAAAAAGTGACTTATCACTATTTTTCACAATTATGACCGCTGCATCATCTCCATGGTCATAGGATCAAAATTTGGATGCTTGACAATTGGTTCATATTTATGAAAGTTGCCATGTTCTGGGGTAATGTGATTAACTTTTGCAAACTTCTGACAAAGTCAATATGGAAGCCAGATCTAATTAACCATGTTACTAATTCGGTAAGAAAGGTTATAAAATGGGGCAAAACTCATTTAATAAATGTCTCACTTTGCAACATAAATTATGGACTCAATTGTGTTTCAGCTTCTCTCTCCTCACTTATATTGTATACTTTTTATTTCTGTAATCTTCTAAACTGTGTAATCATCAAAACCATACATCACAAGTTCATTTTTTTCATTTTCATGCAAAAAGTGTGTAAGAGGTTTCAAGTCATCAATAAACGTAGATGATATCTTTAAAGAATTTATTCATTTCAAAAAAAATCTTGCAGACTTCACCCACCAGCAGGTAGAGTTGGATCTTTCCATTACTAGGCCTGTAATAATCTCGCTGTGGTAATCGTATATTGAAATAATCTTCCATGGCTGTTTTAAATTGTTTATCCATTAATTCTGAAAGGAAATGATCATGGGCGTATAAAACAGCTTTTAAAAAATTGAATTCAAATACATACTTTTAATACAGAGGACTTGATGGATAGATTTAAACTGCTTTTCCTAATTTTTAGACTTCTATTTGAAAAACCAACCAACCACCATCGAAGAATGAAACGAACAGGAAAACATGATAGACATGTACACACATGGATCTACTACACAAATATACATTTTCGAACAGTCGCCCCCTCTTCAGACATACCAGCAGATGTCACTTCTGCTCTGTAATACAAGCGCCTTCAATCTCTCTTTTCCTTATTATTATTATTATAAGTATTATTATTTGCAACGTTCTCACCAAATGCTACAACCCCACAAAAGCATCCTGAGCGGCCCGAAACATAATCAGGGCCTCGACGAGGGAAAGGTTTTTGCTTAAGACAATAACAGACGTCCTGGCCAACCAATGAAAAGGAAAAGGCGGGGCTTCAGGTAAGCGACATCCAATCTCCGCGGCAGACGCAGAGTCAGAAGCAACCAGTCCTGGCGAAGAAGGCGCGTCCTGCGGGGAAAGGGAAAAGAGAAGGGGAAAAGAAAAAAAGGAGGTAGAAAGTCGGGAGCTCTCGCGAGAGCTGTCCCGTCCGTTCAGCCCCCCGCCGTCCGCTCGCGACTGGGTGACTGCGCAGCTGCCATGTTGGTTGCTATGCTGCTGCCTGTCTGAGGGCAGGCAGGAGAAAAAAAAGGAAGGAGGGAGGTTGGCTCTGGGGAGGGGAGGAATAGGGAGGAGGAGGCGACAGGAGCACCAGCGATTGCTGCCAATCCTCGCCCCCCCCCACCCCCCAATCTTCTTTCCTCAGCGCAGACAGGCATTGCCCTGCTGGATAGCTACCGCCTCTTCTCTCCCCTCCCCGCCTTTCCTCACCCTCCGGCTCCGGGCGAAGGAAGCGAGAGAAGAGGAAAGAAATCCTCCTTGGGGGTGGGTGGGGGGGTAAGACGGGGACAGTGCTTTCCCCTCTGGGGAGGGGAGGAAGACGGAGGAGGGAGGCGACGACCGAACCCTCCTCCTCCTCCCCCTTCTTCGCTCGTGGCTGGGGAGGCGGGAAGACTCGATCGCCTTCCGCCTGCCTCTCCTCTCTCTCCCTCCATCCTCGCCTTTTCTGCTTGCAGGAGGAATGTGGGGGGGCCTTGAGTTGAGAGTGGGGCGCTGGGGGCAACGGCTGCGGGAGACCCCCCTTCCTTTCGGCCTGCTGTTGCGTGGGGGCACAAGAACTAAACTGAACTGAGCGGAGGGCTTGAACTCACCCTATTTTTTTGGGGGGGGGAATACCCCCCCTCCTCCTGCTTTCCACTTTTTTTTTTTTTTTTTTTACCTTTCGGCTTTCGAGTTGGTTTGTTGCTTCGTTGCCGTTCTCTGGAAGGACGAGGCTTGTTATATATGAAGGTAAGGAAATTTATCTCTCTCTCTCTCTGTATATATATATTTATATATATATAAAAGAAACTTGTCAGGTTAACGTGGGAGAAACTCCCCGCCGCCACCCCCTGTTCCTACCGCTCCGAATAGTATTACGTCTATACAAGTAAAAGGTTAAAAGAGAGGAAGCCGCCAAATCGCTCTCTGCGGATTGCTCGGGTCTTGAGTGTGAATTATGAGCTGACCCTAACATATAGGCAACTGTGTGGGACAACAACGCGGAAGGTGCCTGGGGTTGCTTGGTCGATGTGTTTGGAAAGTCGTCGGATCGATGTTACTCTCTCGCCTTGGGGTCCGACGATTTTGAATTTCCTGACACACACACACACACACACACACACCGGAAGAACACAACGTCCCTTCAAAGAAACCCCCTATCCGATTATCCGAATTGCTCCAGAAACAGTGGGAGAAAGAAAGGCGGTTAGAGTTAACAAGCTGGTGTCTTGTCTGCTTGGCAAAAGACGGCGAAAAGATCCCCCATGACTTCTTATTGTTGTTATTTTTCTTTCTTATGTTGTGAAGGTGTGCCACAGCAATGGCAGAGTGACTGACATACTCAAAAATTATGTGCGTTTCGAAAATCCATGGCTGTCCTGAAGCGTGTTGCGTTGCGTCCGATTATATTAGCCGGAGAGGCAGCAGCAAGCAGCAGTAGCAGCAAGGATTACGTTATTCTTTAGAGGGAGTGAAGAAACGACAAAAAAAAAAAATAGGTTGACTGAAGGCATGCTGGGGTCCCCCAATTGAATTACTTAGTTGCAGAGGTAAAAAGATATTTGGAAAATAAGTAGCAAAGGCTTGGAAATGATTTATAATATAAAAACGGAATGCATTTTTCCAGAGGGAAATTAAAATAGATGAAATGTTATGTTTAAAAAAAATTGAAAAGGCCCTCAAGTCTTTTACCTTAAAGCATGTTTTCTATAGCTACTCTGAGAGCTAAAAATGAAACTAGTTATATTACTTTACCTGTTCAAGAGATGCTTATCTAAATATTGAGTTACATCTGTAAGGATTTGATGGGGCAATATCACAATCTCAGAGCAACCACTTCTGCAACAACATAGATAAAGCATAGTAAAATAACATAGTAAAATCATCAAAATGTTTTAGGAAGACCCTTTGCAGTTTTGTTTTACAATTCTGAAGTAAACCTTTGGGAAGAGGAAAATATGATGCTCTATCTGAATACCTCATGTAAAACTGCCTTTTCCCCTTTTCTCACTGGAAAAAAAATGTATTAAGCCAGAAATAGTGATTGTACATGTTATGTAGGGATTCCAATTTGAAACTTTAAAGTATGAAAAGAGTTTTAAATATTAACATTAAACTAGAGCACTCTATTGATACATTAACTTATTTATGGTTATGTATTAGTAGTGTAGAATGGGGTGTCAAACTTGTGTCATGGCGGTATCACGTGATGTATCAGGATTTTTTCCCCTACACTAAAGTGGGCGTGGCCAGCACATGATGCATCCGGCCCGTGGGCCAGGAGTTTGACACCCCTGATATAGAAAATTGTTTCTTGCTTATCAAAATTCCAATCTATCTGGATTCTTTCTCTGCCTAGCTTACATACTTGCTGAATGTACTACTTCATGCTGTGTTGTCACTTGGAAAGAAAAAAATGAATATATATGGGCTATAATTTTAAATTTAGATATTGCTAATATCAAAGGGATATACTTGTGTAAAAATGATATACTTGTATGAAAGTCATTTGTAAAAGTAGTAGTATAATTAGAATTTTAGAAACTTAAAATAGTAAAACAGTGTAACTCCAATATCAGCTTTCTGATTTTTGAAAATCCAAAACTATTGTTTGCATGTATTAACTGAAAACCAAGTAAAATAATTATATGTATTTTACCTTAATATTTTTAGGTTATAATCTTTTTTATTTTGTATTAACTAAGAAAGCAATGTATTTGTATTTTGAGACATTTGCAAAATCTTCAGTGTATTATACCAGGAAGTCAATAAATGATACCCATCAGATGCTTTGGACTACAGTTCTCAAACTCTTTGGCCATATTTGGATGTTGTTGATGGAGGTTGTATTCCTCTCAAATAGAAAGCACATGAAGTTACTTATTGCAATTTAGTTGTGTACCACCTTTTATAATATAAATTAGCCTTGGTGTATGATATAGCTTTATTAGTATAACAAGCACATTATACAGTATAAAGATACATTTATGTTTGATTTTTATCCTACCTTTATTCATTTATAAGAAACTCAAGGTGGTAAACATGCATAATACTCTTTCCTCCTCTTATTTTCCTCAGCAACAACAACCCTTTGAGATGTGTTGGGATTAGAATAAATGACTGGGCCAAGGTCACCCAGTTTCATGCCTGAGGCAGGATTAGAATTCAGTCTCTTTGTTTCTAGGCCAGCACCTTAAGCACTATATCAAACTGCTATATATTAACTCTATCATAATTTTTGCTGAGCTCCGCATCAATCTAGATTCAAAATGTGTAAAGTGTCTCAATGCACACAATGGGCATGCAAGAATCAGCTATTGGGAACACCTTAAAGCAACTATGTCTTTTCCTGGGCTCATGCAATTGCTTTTTTCAGCTGCAGAGACCCCCCCCCCCCCAAAAAAAAAAAGACATTGGTTTAAAATGTTTCTGCTACATGTGAAATAATGGATATCCTGAATTGCATTTTTCCTTTTGAATTCGGATAACTGCACAATTCTTATACTTGTATTCATTCTTTTTAATTTTATATTTATGATTTTTTCCTCAATACATTTTACAGAATAAATTCAAAATATACATTGTACCAGTCATTTTAATGATAAAACAAATTTAGGATGTTTCATTGGAAACTACATTACAAGTTGTATGTTTTGGAGGAAGTCAGTTAAATGATGCTTTTTGAATTATCTCAGTGAGTGGCAACAATCTAGCTGTCCTTGGGTGGTCTTGAAAGCTAGGCAGAGTTGACTCTTAATGTGTGGATGGGTGCTGTCTGAGAATTTCACAGCTGATGGCAAGATTGACAATTTTAGAAAAATTCTTAAAAGAAGAAATAGTAGATTACTTCCATAAAGTTGCCAAGAAAATTGCATGGATACAGTTATAGGAGTGGAACTTGACTTGATAATGTATTCTACTTGTTTTAACTCTTGATTTCATTTTTGCTTTTTTGGTGTGTCAGGCAATTAATATTTGGGAAAGATTTGTTGTACAAATGTAATGTCATGTTCTGCTTTTATTGAAGAGATGCTATAAACATATAGAAATTAGATCTTGATATTTTACTAAGAATCGGATGTATTCAGTTCAATTAAAAGTGATTCACATGTGCAAACAGGTTTGCAAGGTTCTGTTATATAGTATGGGTTATCACATCTGCTTAATTAAGTGGTTGTAGTGGTCTGTTATTCTGTAAGTCTGCTCAGTTTTTTCTCCTGTACTAGAGCTGGAAAAAGTAACAGGAAAAACCATTGGATTGGATGAAATGGGAGGTGTCAGTATCAGATTACTTGTTTATATGGATTAAGCTGAGAGAAAGGCAAAGAGAAGAGAACTTCATTTATATGATAAGTCAATAAAAAAGCATGGGAATGAACTGCTTTTACCTTGTGGATTTAGGCTACCCTCACTATAAGATTAAATGATGACAAATATTTGTTTAATGAATGCTGTGGGTTTAAAGCCAAATTGAAGACCTTTTAGATATTGTTAATAACAAGCACTTTTATTTGCAATTTTATTGGTATTCAATCTTTTTTAACCTTTAGTTTTGGGAGAAAAAAACATTTCTTTAGAGTTATTCTGCAAATATTTTTTTTTCAAAAGGCAAAGGATGCATTTATATTTTGTATATACCTCTTTTTACATCTATGCTTTTGGGACTACAGTACCCAAATTATGTGATGATGCAAAATATTATGTGGAATATAATATTATATATTATATTATTATGACAGAATAACAAAAGCCTGTTTTCCCTTTTCTAGTCCCCATTTCTGTAGATCCAGAAAATTTTGGAGATTCAGGCTTAGAAGTTGAATCATCACTTTGTGTGTGAGTGTGTGTGATTCAATTCATAGTTTACTATTTTTAAGAATCTAAATATGACAATCTTTTATTTGGTATGTTGACCTGGATATATCTTTGTGTCTTCCTATGTTGCTTGTTACTTGCTCATTTAGCTCAAGAGAAAAGCATAGAAGAAAATGTAACAAAAAACATTGTGTATATAATATTGCATATAATGGTTGAGTTATGTTGGTATCGTTATTTTGGATTGGATTGAAATTTGGAGTAAATGATAGTGTTTAATATGTTTGTCATCTAAATCTGCATCTCATTGACTGATGTAGATTTAAATACTTCAAACCACAAATAAAATTGCTTTTTGTAATATGTATTCATTGGGCATTGTTGTAGCATTTGGGTATATAGATTCTGAATACATATGACATGATTTCTTTCTTTTTGCTGTCTGAAGAAAAAAGGGGGGGGGATCTTCTCTTTGCTCAACCATTAAAACAAATAGCATTGGAAAATACTACTCCAGCTAGATTTGGTATGAATCCTCTCCTCAGGAGAAAACTAGCAGTCTGCTTCTGCTATAAATATGTAATCACCACAAATATATCTTGTATGTACAAGGAAGCCAGAACTTGCTGCAATTTCCTATTATAGTGGCAAGCCAGTAAATGGAATTGCCACACCTAAATTCAATTAAAGCTAATTATAAAGTGCTGGATTTCTTTTTTTATTTTATATACATTGAATCCCATAATAATGCTCTTCCTCATACCATTAGGTTTTTCCTAGAAATGCTATGGGCTTGTTTTCTGGTAACTTGGGGTCAAGATTTCTCTGTAGTCACTCTGAATTCCTGGAAATCATTCTGCGTTGTATTGAGGGGATTTTTGTAGCTTTCTAGAAGGCCCGCATAAGACATTGTTTTAAATACACTGTAGTTGTTG